AAATGTATATATATATATATATGGTATATATATATATATATATTTTTTTTTTAAGCATTTAAAAATATATATTTGCCCTCCATATATTTCAATCCAAGAAAATCCATTCACATATGTAACTATTGAAGAAAAACTTTATTTGTTGTCCATAATACGTGTGAACGTATAACATTTGAATAAAATTAAATAATGAATAAACCCTAAATGTAGGCTACTGTGAGAGTGGATATGTATTTTCTTTCCCATTAAATATATTTTGGTAAATTAAGGGTGAAAATAAAATTAATTTTAAATTTCAAAAATATATTTCATTGAGCTTCACTGTTTACAACATATATTTGGCATATATTTAAAATATGTTGTGACTAAATCTGCCAGCAAACCCATATATATATATGTATTTATACATATATATATATATATATATATTAGATTTAGTCACAGCAAGCAGCGCAAACAATCGTGTGAAAGAAAACCGAAAGATCAAATAAACCGCAACCTTGAATGTTTGTGGAGGATTGTTACCAATGCAAGAAAGCACAAATGCCAAATTAAAATAAAATGTTTTCTGGATAAATAACCAGCAGAGAAATATCACAAATAAATCAGGATAAGCAGAAAGCATGATCACGATTAAAATACAATTCATTGTGCAGCCCTACATTCAAGCACATGTTGTATAAATTCTTGCTTTCCCTGGGATTCGATTATTCGAACCATAACCTTAGCATTGCTTCAGGAAGTCTAGTTTATAAAAAGATTGTTTATTTGACTTAGCACCATATTGCAAGTCTTCTGAAGTTATGAAATCCGTGAAATGTAAGTCGTTATTTGCTGATAAATGACATGAGGGTGAGTAAATGATGAGAGAATTGAGATTTTAGTGTGAACTATCCTTTTAAATCATGTCTCTGTAGTACCATGTCGTCCATGTTCGCTTGTGAATGTACTTCACGACAGCTTGTGAATTTTAAAGCATCTCTAAACCATTAATGTTGATCACAGTATTCCCTTAATTAATTACCACAGTTAGGAAAATTCACTTCAAGCACATATGAAATATAAAATATCACTTTCTCTCAAGTTTACAGTTTTTTAATACTCCCTGGATTAATAATTTGCATGTCAGTAATTTAGGAATATTTAGAAAGAATGGATATTTCAAGTTAATTTCATACTGCAAATTAACAGCTTCTTGAAATACATTTCTTAAAGATACTAAACCTTCCAAAGCAATTTCTAAAACTATTTCTGTAACAACAAAAGTATCCGTTTAATAATCTGCTTCACAATCATTCAGCATACATATAAAATCATCTCATTTTCTAATACACGCCATCAGAAAACATGAGGGCCAGATGTAGTATGAAGTTGAACATGAACTAACCGTTTAGTTTCCTCTTCTGTTACTTAGTTGAATCGCACTCATGAAACAAGAAGAACTACTCTTTTGAATGCACTAATTTTCTGAGAGCACATGAGAAATGCACCGTGTCGTTTTGCCTTGTTCTGATGTAATTGATGTTCTGTTGCCTTTTATTGGTTGAAACCATGTCTGTATCGAGACCGGACGGCTGACCGGATTTAACGTATGTTTCCCGTAGAAATCATCTGTATCTGTTCTACAGCACTTCACACAGACAGACTGCACTTCTCCAAAGAGGACAGTTCGTTTACATCATACGTCTTCCGTATCAGTCGCCGCAGTCTTTCTTTAACGCTCCCTTTAATGCTGTTCATCTGCTGCTTGTGCTGGACAGATGGGGGAGACCGGGGCTAGTTGTCACACAGTGAATATGTTTTATGGCGGGTTGAGTTCTTTACAGACAAAATCCTGAGAGTCTTGATTACAAAACGCTATTGCTCAGGAAAAATAGTTAATTTACATTCATGCATTTGGAAAATGCTTTTATCCAAAGAGACTTGCATTGCATGCAATGTTTACATTTTATCAGTTCATGCGTTTGCTGAAAAATTGAGCTTTGAAATGTAACCATTTTAACTCAGAAATTGCTAGTATGTTTCACAAATAATGACATTAAAATGGACTTAAATGTGAAATTTTGAAGTAGAAAAAGTATTTTTTGTTGTAAAACACTCTAATAGCAACACTTCAAAAAATCTTTTTTTACAGTGTACAGTATAGTGGGGCATGTTGTCACAATATATGGTATAATTAAAAAGGGAACCTCCTGCTGATAGTGATTTGTTATTAAAATACCTTCGTTTGAAATATGTAATACTATATTAAATAAAAACACAGTGAAAAACCAACAAGTGTATTTGCACTTTTGACTCAAACCCTTTTTGCCATGTGACAACTAGCCCCGGTCTTCCCGATTTGAATGCAGAATTCAGCAAAAGCAGCAGAATTACGTCCTGGATTCATATAACATACAATAATTACATAATGTACAGTCAGAATACTGTGGTAAATGGCCACTGAACGGCATTTAGCCTAACAGAGACATATAGATGTAAGTCATTGGTTCAGTTGGATCATGTGGCAGTTCTGAAGTACCTTGCTTACCATGTAAATACCATGCTACATGAATATGGTATTCTCTGCCGTCACTGTACTACGGTAACACCACAGTACTTGTTTGTAAGGGATGGTTGAGTTCTGCACATTCAGTCCCAGTGAATCTGTAACAGTGAGTTGAATATCGTCACAGCTGCCTTGCTTGATTTCACTCTGTTTTCCAAAGAATCTACTGTATTTTGCTAAATTGCCTTTGGTATCTTTTATAACGCTGTCCGTTTTGTTCCTGTTGTGTGTAAATGTTTAGTTCTGAAATGCTTGTGAATGTATTTCTAAATGCTGTCGTTTTGTTTTCATTGTACAGACTATCATTGTACATTATACAACTTTCACGTACTTTGTAGATCTACACAAACAGATGAACACAACCAGCTTCTGTGGCACAAGAATCTGTCAGACAGGTTTGCTTAATCTGAATGAATTTACACGAGTACATTTTTGCTTTAGATGAATATGTTAACTGCAAACGTGGTATTAGTGATTCTGCACCACCAGTATTTTAAATTAGTTTAACCAGCAAGACTTACTCAGTCAATTAGCCTCACCAGAACGACCAGCACTAACTAGCATTCACTTGAAAAGTCATGGTCTTTTTAACAAGAAAGTTGCTAGTCTTGCTTTTACTCCCAAAATGTACTCAATATGATCATCACAGACCAAATGTTTTGCTTTTTGAATGTTAAACGCAGATTTGAGGAAGAAATCTTAGCTTGGTGCTTCTCAGAAACCAGGTTGACCGCATTATTCGCCATCTATGAAAGTCCGTTTCCGCCACGAAATAAAAAATAAGAAAGGTATTTGTGACTTTTTATTTCACAATTCTGACCTTTTTTACTCGCAATTCTGATTTTATATCTTGTAATTCTGAGTTTACATCTAGTAATTCTGTTTATATCATAATTCTAAGTTTATATCTCGTACTTCTGAGTTTGAGTTTATATCTCATAATTTTGAGTTTGTCCCACAATTCTGAGTTTATATCTCATAATTCAGTTTTGTCCCCCTCACAATTGAGTAAAAAAAACTATATAAAAAATTTTAATTTATGTCTCATAATTCTGAGTTTATGTCTTGTAATTCTGTTTATATCATAATTCTGAGTTTATATCTCATAATTCTTTGTTTATATCTCATAATTCAGATTTTATATCTCGCAATTCTGAGTTTGAATTTATGTCTCATAATTTATATAAAATATAAAATAATGCATATCTTGTAATTCTGTTTATATCATAATTCTGAGTTTATATCTCATAGTTTTTCTCAGAATTGTGAGTAAAAAAGTCAGAATTGTGAGCTATAAGCTCAGATTTATGAGAAAGTCAGAATTCTGAGTTTATATCTTGCAATTATGATTTTTTTTTTCTGTCATGGGAATAAAAAAAATAAAAAGATAATTACAACTTTTTGTGTCACAATTAGTGTTGGGCAAGTGTCTCTGAAAATGTAATTAAATTACTGATTACTCCTTTAAAAAATAATCACGTTACTGTTCTGATTACTTTATTTCAAAAGTAATTAGTTACATTACTAGTTACGTTACTTTTTTTGTGGCTACATCCATGAAATTTACATGAAATCCCAGCACAAACACTCCCGATAAATATTTGTTATTAAAGCATCAACATTCACAGAACACTGTTATTTGTAACTAAAGCAAGCATAGGCTGCTGCGTACATGGGTTGGCATGGCAGAATGCCAGCCAATAGCGCTGCTTTTATACTCTCTAAAAAGATGACATCTCAGTTCATCACAATCTCACAAAGCTCTGTTATAACACAATATATGCATAATGAATCTTTCAAAATGTTTTCAGCACTTGCACTCCTGACTGGCCATTGCTTTCCAGAAATCAACATCGCTCAACGCAGCAAACACATGTTATAGCCTAAACAGAAACTCTGCCAACGCTTGCGCCTGTTAATCGTTTTTTTAATTCTTGTTGCTTTTGTGCAATAGATGAATAACAATTTATTTGTTTAGATATTTTATGTTTAGATATTTCGTGTGCTACACCCTTTTTACAATCTAGATTATAAAACACTTCATTCTGTCAGCAGTGTAGCATGGCAATAACGTATAGAGACCGCGGCTTGTAACTATACTCTAATTACTATTTAGAAAATTATAACACGTTAAATTACTCCGTTACTAAAAAAGTAATCAAACTACAGTAGCGCGTTACTAAGTAATGCATTACTGCCCAACACTGGTCACAATTCTTTTTAATTGTATTGTAAGTTTATTTTTTTATTGTAAGTTATATCTTACAATTCTGATGTTTTCCCCCATAATTCTGAGAAAAAGATTAGAACTAGATATAAACTCAGAATTCTGACTTTCTTGCAATTCGGTTTTGTTTCTTTCTTTTTTCTTTTCTTTTTTCCCCACCACAAAATAAAAAATTATTTTCTCGCAATTGTGAGCTTATATCTCACAATTCAGACTTTTCTTCTCAGAGCTGTGAGATAAAAAGTCACATGTACCTTTGTGGCAGAAACGGCCTTCCATAGTCTTCTGTAGAAAATCACATGAATCCAGTGGAAGGAAAGTTTGTGGTACTACGCGGCCCGTGCATGTCACACATCCCACAAGCCTTACGTTTCTTGTCTATGTGTGGTAAGTGACACATATGCGATTCACATCGACAGAAATGTTGTTTTACAGCTTTAGCTCATTTTATCATCACGCCTACGTTTACTCGACGGTCTCGGATCAAATCCATGACTGCTGTTTTTCACAAATGATGAGCACTGTTGTCTTTTATTTTTCTTCTCAAGAAAAGTAAATGCTTGCCGGCATGTTTTAAACCGCTGAATGCCACATCTATATAGCTTTTGATTATTATGTAGCATATCCGTCGTGTAGTCACTCAGATCCATGAACTCATGGGCAAATGTACAATAAACTTTGTATACCAGAAAGTTCAGATGCTGCTGTTATTCATGTTCATCTAATGATATCTTTCATCACTAATGAAGGGATTCAGACCGTTCAGATGTGCTTTTCACAATACAAATCATTCCATACTAACAGGCTTTCTAGTTTAATTGGTTGTTATATTATCTGTTGACGATATAATTTAGAGAGTATAAGCAGTGCTGGCTAGTAACTGATTACATGTGATCTGGATTATGTAATCAGATTCCAAAATAAAGTACTTGTAATTACACTACATTTTATAATGCATAAAATCAGATTACAGTTACTTTTTTATGGATTACATCATTGCATATTATTCACACAATGGCAGTAAATTATTAATCATTTATCGATTCACCCCAATTCTTTTCTTTCTTTTAAAATGTCCTTTCTAAATGAACTATTATACAGTTTGGGAAACCCTGCTGTAATGTTTAATGCATTTCATAATGTTTTTTTTTTTTTTTTTTTCAATATGGTACACAATAATTCCTTTCAATTCTATGTGATAAATGAGTTAGGTCAAAAGTCATCTAAAATTAATCAAAAAGTAATCACACTACATTAATACTACTAATCTAAGTCGTGTTTTCTTAGGTAAAACAGCACAAGTGAATAGATATCATATACCATATTTCCCCAATTGATTAATCACAGTATATTAAGAGTTGTTTTGTATTAAAGTTTTGCTGTCGTATAAATATGCAAATGAGGCATTCTAGAATTAAATATGCACTAATTTGCATACATTTCCAGAACAGAAATCTGAACATCATTTCATTTTTGTAATATTTTAGATCTCTTTCTATCACTCCGTAAATCAGAAAATACTGTCAACAGCCAGAAAAAAACACATTTTCACCATGTTTTTGGTATAAAATTTTATATAAATCTGGCAAATGATATAGGAACAAAAAAAACTCTGTAAAAACATTCAGAATATAGATAGGAATAAGTGCTGCTGAAGTGAAGAAAAAAACCTCATAGCGTTTAAAAATATGTATTGAGTGCATAAGTCTTTTCTTGTTTATCTACATTGTTTCTGCCCTTAAAACTGGCCTCAAATCTCATTTGGTCCATTTTATTCGTGACCGGGTCACTTACAGCTAATATCACTTATTTTATGAAAAAAAAATGTAACCTGCTGCTCTTCAGAAACAAACGAACTGCATATTTGATCAGAGAGCGGTTTGCAAGAATGTTGACTTATATGTGAACGCTCCAAGTGAACTCTAAAGCGAATCAAACCCTTTTAAAGCAATCTCACACGGTTTGAGTGCAATTATTGCAATGCATTTCACTTCATATTGAATGCAAAACAGCCTGGAATCACCTTTTCATGTTTGTGTAATGCCACGTATTTTTGGCAGTATCAGGTGATATGTTTTTGTGGGTTTATTATTGCGTTAATGTATGGTGAAAGTGGAATCTTGTCGTGTATGTAATGGAATTGGTCTATTAGCTGCCTCTTGAAGTGTAATTATGCACATAAATCTTGCACACACATGCACTTACACATGAATATATGTATAAACTGATGAGGACTGTGAATGCAGATGACCTGATGTGCTCTGTGTGAATGGAGCCGGACGTTGCCGGAAGGGTCCGAAGGTCCCAGATGCATTGAATGGATGCTGAGTGTCTTAAGAGAAAGGCAGTCCTTTTTCTGCAGGGAATGATATTTAATGTGTGTGTTTGAGAGGTTTTCTTCCAGTCAAGACAGGAAAGAGATCATTCTGCCATAGAAATGTGTTTTTCCTTACATGCATACGAAATTAAAGCAGAAGAACTGATGCATCTGAGATCTTTGCTAAAAGTGTGGAAACACTTTCATTCTTCATGACGTGGTTTTGATGGATTTCTGATCGTTCTGAGAGTCGAGGGACAGAATGAGATGAAAAGAAAGTGTTTTTGGAAGTTTCGGGGACAAAAAAAACAGAGTGGGAAACAGATGAAGGTCACTGAAGATCCTCTGAGAGACGCTGTTCGGAACAGAAATGCTTGATCATGCCTCACTGTCTTCATCTTTTAGTCCTTCTGCTGTTTTATCCTCCTCGAGGTAAGTTCAGCATCTTTAGAGAGTACATCACTAATGCAACAAGGAATGCATTCATGTTAAAAAAATTATTTGTTTGTTTATTTATATATTTAGTTCACTGTGAAGAAAAATCAGTAGAAAACAGATCATGTTCTGGCAGGAAATTACCAGTACTTTTTCCATTAAGTTATGGTAATTTCTTTCAACCATAAAATACAACACAATGAAATGCATAATTTAAAATAGGGTCAAATTCCATGAAAAACCAATACAGAAAATGCCTTGATAATAATATGGTACATGGTGCCATATTTTAATGGATTTTATATATTATATATTATATATATGTGTGTGTGTGTGTGTGTGTGTGTGTGTTTGTAGAGTTCTTATTCATTTAAAGAAAATTAAGCCTAATTTAAGTCTATAAGAAAAAGAAGCTTAAAAATGTCACAGTGCAAAAATAAAAATGTATTGTTCTAAAAAATAGCTTTGTTTAAGGCTTTTTTATTTTTTAGAATTTTTTAAGAATGATAAAATTATTTTATTTTGTATTATTTTACAAAACAAACAGACTTTCCATGGTGCACAGAATTCAAAGGGAAAGGCTTATTATAGTTAGCTAAAACTAAACATTAGATTTTAACACAGTAAACTAAATGTCTTTACATTTTTAGAAGATTTTTCTTATAGTAAAAAAAGCAAACCAGAACAGTGTAAAATTCACAATATCACAATATTTTTCTTTCGATCTTTGCCGCCGAACTACATTTCCCACAATGCACCACAAATCGCCAACAACTTCCAGGAAGTGTTAATCACTGACCGCTGCCAACATGGATTTAACAAGCCGGCAAACCGTGAACTGCATCTGACTGACTGACTTTCTCAGTTATGTTTTTATAAACTAACGTGTTTTGTATCGTGATCTTCACTGGAGCTCATGACCGCTGACGTTGTCGAGTGAGCGCTGAAGCTAAGCTAAGCTAAGCTAAGCTAACTGTACACAGTGTTGTGTTTGTGATGTGAGCTGGTCGATAGTCTGTTATTGAGGATGTACACTTTATTATCGGGTCTCTACAAATATATGTTTCAAAAGGACGAGTACTGCGTCCTGATCCTCGGTCTGGACAATGCTGGAAAAACGGTAAGACTAGTAATGAATAGTTAACGCCTCCTTCGCTAATGGTATGCTAGTAGTAGTTAAACTGTTGATAAAATTGTTCAGAAAACGCATTGTGATTTAGTAGCATTTTTGGGTTTATGAGGCACAGTAATCCTGCCTGGGAAGGTGCTGTCTAGGTAGGCTGCACACTATAATATTAGACTAAAATGCTCATTAGTTAGGTAGCACACTAGGTTTTGCTTTTATAATGCTTCTGTTTCTGTTAGTAGGCTGCTCATTTAGATCCACACTAAATATGATGCCTAGAAGTGAGGTTTTTATGATGACAGCTCACTTGACATGTTGAATATTTTAGACTTTTCTGGAACAAACAAAAACAAAATTCAGCAAGAGGTTTAAAATACAGGCATGTGGTTCTTAATTTCTTTTTATTAATTCACCATTTGTAAACTGATGTTTACTGTTCATTTTTTAGAAATATCAATAGCATTTGTATTAAAACTATATTCACTGAATGTAATCAAAAAAATCTTGAATCGAATCAAGAGCTTGCGAATCGAAATCGAATCGAATCAGGACATCTGAATCGATACCCAGCCCTAACCATCAACTTATAAAAGTGTGCATCATCAGTCCATCACGTATAATAACCACATCCTTCTGGGATAACTGTCATCTCCCAGTGGTCTGTAGGTGGTGCTGTGCTCCTTTATTTCCACACTGAGTTCACAAACAGTCCTGCTTGTCTTCTGTTCCTCAGAACTGTCTGTCTGTGCCTGACATTAAGACGGCTTTCAGCGACTGCGCTCCCAAAATCGGTAAAAGAGACTGTCTGGTGCAGCCCTGCAGTGCTTTATCAGGGTACGTCTGGCCTCGTTTGACTCATTTATTATTCAGTGTTGTGTGTGGAAGTGAAAACCCCGCTGCGTTCAAGCACTCCAAACAAAAAACAAATTTTTTTTTGTAGTTATGAGAAATGCACAAAAAACTCTTGTGTGTAGATTATTTGCTAACACTTTACTTGAAGTCTTTGTGTAGTGCATACACCTTGTAATGCTTTTTATCTTTTCATAAATAGATGTACCCAATTTTAAATGCATTCAAATAGAAGGTTTGTCGTGTGTTTGAATGCATTTGACTTTCTAAAGGTGTAATTATAATGCATTTTAACTGTGGTTATAATTATTCATGAGACCAGACAATGCATTAAGGCCTAATTAATGCATTATATATAAAGGCTTTACGTAAAGTGTTATCGATTGTTTTTATATGTTTGATACTTTGCAATATTCATGATTCATTTTATACTGCCAACAGTGTTTTTCAAGCATTACCACAATTCTAGTTTTGCACTTGTTCCTTCACATCTGAAGTATGAGAGCATTAATACATAAATATTTTAATATCATTTCAGATTTAAACCTTTGTAATAATAATGCTGACAGAATTGAGAATTTTACTTCTACAAATAAGTTCAGCTCAAAGCTCTGCTTCAGCGATTCATTCCTGTCACGACTCTGAAGTCATCGCAGAGGTTTGCATGTGCAATTTCACGAGTTTAGAATAAGTTTCCACAAAAATATGAACTGTTTTCAACATTGATAATAATCAGAAATGTTTCTTGAGCAGCAAATCAGCATATTAGAATGATTTCTGAAGATCATGTGACACTGAAGACTGGAGTAATGATGCTGAAAATTCAGCTTTGATGATTTTTTTTTAATCATTATTTTAGATTGTAATAATATTTCACAATTTTACAGTATTTTTGATCAAATAAATGCAGCCTAGGTGAGCAGAAGAGGCTTATTTCAAACATTTGGCTGGTAGTGTATATCTTAGTAAATATTGCTGTATATGTTATTTAATGCTAAATGAAAATTATTAAATATAATTCATCGTTGATTATTTTTAATTTTGGTTTTTACTTTATTACTTATTCCTGTAAATGTTTTGATGCATATTAAAACCATGTGTTTTTTCTGTACGTTTGTGTTTTTCAGGCAGGGCGTGAATGACGGCATTGAATGGATGGTCAAATGTGTGATCCGGAACATTCACCGGCCACCCAGACAGAAAGACATCACATAGAGCGCTGTGTGTGTGTGTGTGAGAGAGAGAGAGAGAGAGTGTGTGTGTGTGAGAGAGTGTGTGTGTGTGTGAGAGAGAGAGAGAGAGAGTGTGTGTGTGTGTGTGTGTGAGAGAGAGAGAGAGAGAGTGTTTCTCTGTAAATTCAGAGTGGATGCAGTTATCATACCACATGTAAGTTATGATATTATATTTGGGTGATACTCAGAGTTTGATATCTATGCTAGCTATTTCTATGCTAAACTGACACTAGTTTTGTTTTCTGATGAGTTTTTAGGTTCTCTGCTAAAACCTTTAAAATCATGCCTTCAGATTAAATCAGTCATTTAAACATAATGAAAACATTCCTCATGCAGCGTTTCAAGAGGCGTTGTTTTTAAGACCCAACAAATCAAAACCTAATTTCTAATTACTAACCAATTCTATAATAAACGGCAGAGTTGGAAATGAAAGTATTTGTGTCTCGGTTTAATCAGCACGACAGATGTTTTCCCAACCCTTGCAAATCCAGGAAATGCCTTATTCTGTCAGGACTGGCTTTTATTGATTTACTTTTGTCTAAGCTGAATGCATTTTGCATGAAGGCAGCGGTGAATCAATAATCGCTGCTCATGCAATGAATGTTATTACAGCAGCAAGCATCACATCTGTGACCTCGGACGCTTCACCCGTTCGCTTCAGCTGCAGAATATTATATGTGTGTGTGGGTGTGTGAAAGAGAGTCGATATAATGTTGAACATGTGCCTCCTCTCTCTGCTCTGAATGCACATACTTTCAAGACCCAAATCACCAGACATTCCCAGTTTGTGTGTTTAATCAGCTGATCAGTGGTGTTTAAGGCAGACGTCACTAGTACTGTAGCTCATATTTAGTGTTTTTTTTTGTTGTTCAGATCTCTAACACTAAGTCTTAACATTGAGTGCGTATACGAGTGTTTGAGACGGATGATCTAAACCTGCTTGAATCAGGCTGTTTCCTTGTGCTGTTGTTTGAGGACAGCAAGCCGCTCTTCGCACGCAAGCCTTCAGCAGAGGCATGAATTGTGTATGAAGACTTGTGTAATAGTGCATCTGTGGATCTGGAATGGAACTAGAATATTAGCGCTGTGTTACAATGCAAAAAGTGCAAAGTGTTTGCAGTATTTTTTTGTGTGTCTTGTTTTAAATATTAAATATTTTTTCTGAAAAAAAAATAAGTTTCTTTAAGCAAAATTGTAAGACTTAATTTTAGAGAATTTATCTTGAGTTAACTTTTTTCACTCCATTGCAAAAAAAAAGTGTTTATTCATTTTTGCCAGATGAAAAACTTCACACTTAACCTTTCATTTTTAGTTTTTTTTCTCCCTTTTTTATTTTGTTGATTTTTGCCAGATGAAAACGTCCCAGACTTTGAATTTTTCTAAACATCACAGTGCTTAATTTGGACTAGTAAGCAATTGCATAGCAGCATGTGAAAAGGCAAAAAAATGATATCAGGACTTGATTATTATTTGCTCCCCATTTGTTGCGTGTGACAATTTTCTACTTTTATTCCATCTTAATTTACAGTCTTGATCCATTACATAAATCCCAGCAGTCTAATGCATGTAAGTGTCAGTTTCAGACCAATAGCTGATTGGAAAAGCGATCAAATGTTGTGCGACTGAACCCAATACATCTTTAGTCTTGTCAATGATGTATTGATTTCTTCAAAACCTCATCGACCGGACCAAAGACATACAATACACTATTTAAATAGACAACGATATCTAGAAGCATTTACCAGATACAGCAACCCAAAATGTAACAATGCACATACAAAATGCAACAAAATATCAAAACAAGCAAACAAATGCTACAAGAACTTTTCTCAACCCAAATGACTTATAAACTGGTGTTTTGGATATTTTTAGTGTTTGATTGCTTAAATATATGCATAACTTGTTCTTTTCGAAGGTGTATGCGAGCAGTAAAATTAGCTTGTTTCCAAGACAACGGCACAATATCACTTTATTATTCTTTTTTCTCATTTTATCTCTTGATCTGACAAAATTGCTGGTTTGTCAGCAATGCCATTTCTCCATTTCTCTCTTCGTCTCTCGTCCTCTCCACCTTCACCTCCTCCTCCCTCCCTCCACCTCCCATCCATCATTCCTCCCCTGATAATACGGACCACTCGCTGTGCGACACTCCTTCAGTGCTTCACTCCGTTCATCTCTCCGCTCAGCATCCATCCATCCTCCGGCAGCACTATGGACAGCACAGTTTCAGGTAAGACCCAGAATAATCTCTCTCTGTAGGAAGGATGCTGAGAGACTAGGGAGATTTTTGCACGAGTTATTGCGTGAGATTGCATGACCCACCGCTGAATCACTTCTTTTAGCATGACATTGGCACTGGTGAATATGTCCTTTGTCATGCATGTGCGTGCTATGCTATCTAAGAGATGAGATCATTAATGAACAGATCCATTTAATAAAGGGTGTGTCTGTTTGAACAACAAGTTATTGTGTGCTGATGCTGAACACTGCAGATGTTGCGCTATAAAAAACACGGGTTCATTTGGAGGGTAGCGTTGCTGCAAAATGTGGCGCAATATTGTAGATGTGACTGTGTGGATCGCATTCAAACACATACAGGCAGGATATGTCAGGAATCAGTCGTCCACTATGTAGTCTCATGTTGACTTTGATAAGACCTTAAAAAGAACCTTGAGCAGCTGATGACCGGAACAGCTCTGCAACACTTAGTTTGCATTGTTTTAATCTGAATTAGCTGTAGATCATACATAAATAACAGGAGTAAATTGTGCACATTATATTGTGTGGTTTGCTCAAATGTCCAGCAGACAAAGCAGGATTTGAGTTAGATTTTCTATCTCGGCCATCTTGCAAAGTCACCTCTCCTTTGAGCATGCCATGGGTGATAAATGAACGTGCTCCGATGCACACTAACTTAGAGGAATAATTAAAAAGCACCATTAGCTACTGTAATTAACACTAACATTTAAGGCTGTCCCATTTGCATGCATGCATTTGCAATTTCTGATTCCTCAAACTATGTTTCTTGTTGAGGTGCATTGTGTGATCATCATGACACAGAGTTCACATTCACGCAAACTCGGTTAATTATTTTGCTGACGTGCGATAACCGGATCAATAATGCATGAATCAGGTTAAGGGTGGGGTTTGAGTTTTGATGCCGAGCGTGTCGACTGCAGCCTGGTAACATGCTTGCATTTATGCATTTGCATCGCTTTTAAAATATTTCATGAAGCTATACAGGTCAGTTCAGGGAAACACCTCTACATCTGATTCTGTAAGATATTGCCGTAATACAGAATCGTCCTTCCTATTTACCAATAACAGAACATTTCCCATTATTAATGTAATTTTTAGTCATGTTTTCAGTAGACATTTCAAAACATCTACTGAAATTTTTACAGGGTTTTTAAACCATTTTACAAAAACAAAAAAGATCACACTGCAAAAAAGTACACATTCTTCCTCATTATATTCTTGTTTTCCAGTGCAAATGTCTAAAAGATTCTTAAATCAAGATACATGTACTTGAGAATCAAATAATATAAAATATATAAACATTCTGTAACTCTCCATACACTATCTGTCCTAAATAGTATGCTAGGTAATAACTGGTGTCTAAAATCATAGCATGTTGTAGACGAAAGGTGTCTATACTTTACCCACTGCATGTAAAGTTCTGCTTCGTTCACCACATGCATATGCATCACTGATTTGTTGTCATATTTACTATATTCAAATAATTTCTCTTTCTTTTGCAGCCTACTCTGAGAAGCTGAGAGAGATGTCGGTGTTGTCTCTCCTGTGCTCTTGTTTGTATTCCCAGCCTCTTCCCAACACCTTCCCAACTCTGTTTGAAGGTAGGAACTTCAACAGCCAAACGGCCAATGATTGAAGGCCTTACTATGAGAATATTTAGGTTTAAGTTATGCATCACATTCATTGTCCTCCTCATCATTCCTCCACAGATATGGAGGTGAAGTCGCTGAATAAGCGAGCTTCTGGTCAGGCGTTTGAGGTCATCCTGAAGAGCCCTACTGAGCCATCTCCAGAGAGACCCCAGACTCTGGCACTGCCGCCCCAGAAGAAGGAGCCTTCCCTGGGGGAACTACAGAAGAGGCTGGAGGCCGCCGAGGAGAGACGGAAGGTAAGATGATGATGCCATTAAATATCGCTGCTTTATTTCATCTGTTGAAGTGTTTTTTTTGTGGAGCACTGCACATAAACTTGTAAAAAGTACTGGCTTTACCATGCTTCTTGGACATTTCCTTCTTGCTCTAGTAGAGTTAGTCAGCAGGATGTTTCTTGAGCAACACATCCAGCTGACTGGAATAACATTTAATTATTTAGCAGATGCATTTATCTATTGAAACACGTTCATGAAAAGCAAAAGCACATGGGTAACTGAGAATCTTAAAGGTGCTTGCATATTTTCATCTTCGTCATTCTTAAAATTCGTCATGCACAGAAACCTTGCACAATGCGTATTAATCCATTGCGAAAAAATTGGCAAAACAATACAAAATTTAGTCTTCAAGCAGTGATTTTGTTGTCCCCTCTCTTCTTAAAAAGTGGAAATATTGGGTCCATCCAATCCTGAGATTGCGTAGAGAGGAAGGAGAGTTTCACCTCCTTATCAAGGAGCGGGAATTATACTGAGTGATTCAAAGTTTAATTCAGTGCTTTGTGCTGCGATACGAAGTGGATCAACTTGTCTCTCTCTCTCTCTCTGGTTTTAATTGCGGGTCGCAACCAACTTGTCAGACGCCATTCTGGATTTTGGTGTTCACTCGTAAGGTGGCTCTGAATTGTCAAAACACTTCTCAAAATGCTTGCTACGGATGCGAAAAACGCAGAAAATTGAACCCGTTCTGAATTTTTTTATGACATACGAAAGTTTCGGAGGTAGTGCGTAAACGTGATTGACACAACGCGAGGTTAGTGTTAATTTTGTCAGCTATTTTCATTTTAGTCTTAGTCTTAGTCCCGGGCTTAAATGTCCTTGTTAGTTTTTATCATATTTAGTCAACCTTATCCTATTTAGTTTTAGTTGACTAAAAGTCTCAACATTTTAGTCTAGTTTAGTCCAAGAAAATCTTAAGTATTTTAATCTAGTTTTAGTCAATGAAAACTTTACATTTAGACAAACTTGTCCTGTTTTTGTTTATTCAATGAAATGTATGAGCATTTTAGTCAGGTTTTTTAGTCAATGAAATATTAGTCACATTTTCGTCATTCTGTATAATGGTTAAACTGATCAAAAAAAAATTCTCAAAATTATAATCGTAATGATTGTTGTTTTTGAGAAATTTACTTTTGCATTTCAGGTATTGCACTTTCTCCAGTAAGCACAAATCAATAGAATGTGGACACATACATGGTGTATTTTACCTCATCTAGTGTACTGATTTATTATAGGCTTTTTATTATATAAATCAACACCAAAGACTTATGCAATCTCTCTGTCTACATTATGAAAACAGCTAAAACAAACGAAAAATATTATAACAGTGAAATTCCAAGTAATTCCACTAATTCCATAATTGCAACAGTCTATTTCTCTATTAAAACAACAGCGGTTGAGTAAGTGCATTTATTCAGCGATCACAATCGCAAACAATACAGTCGAGATCTCATGACAGAACACTGACTAGAACTCTTCCCTCTTAGGGGATTAGAACTGTTGATATCTGGCAACCGCACTCATGAGAACTTGCGTAGTAGCTTGTACAGCAGTCCGCAATAACATTTTGTCTCCTTTTTTTGATGAAAATAAAAAGAGGTTTTTGGTAAAGTTTTTATCTTTTTGAATACATTTTAGTCTCGTCTTATTTCGTCAACGAAATTGCATGTTGATATAGTCTTAGTTATCGTTTATTGACCTTATTGTCGTCTCGTCTTAGTCATGGGAAAAAAGCTCGTCAACAAAAAATTTTCGTCATAGTCTTCGTTAACGAAATTAACACTACGCGAGGTCGTATTTTTTTTTTAACGTGCAAAAATTTCAGACTCGGTGTGCAAGGACCTTAACACTCTAAAAATGAAAGGTTATTTATTGGCATTGATGGTTCCGTCCATATAGCATTTCCACTGCACAAAACGTTCTTCATAATGGAAAAAGGTTCTTTAGATTATTCAAATGTTCTTCTCACTAACATAAAAAAAATGGTTCTTTCAAGAACTTTTCTCAGAAAGGTTATTTTATGGTTCTTCCATTTCCACTGTACTAAAGGTTCTTTGTAATGGAAGAAGTTTAGAGTTTTAAAAAATGTTCTTGACACTAAGAGAAAGTGGTTCTTTTAAGAACTGTTCACTGAAAGTGCTGCAGGCTTATTGGCTCACTGACGCTGATGAGATTAACCCCTTAGGTATCGAAATTTGGTACCGAACGACAAGACGTTTTTCGATACTCGATGGTATCGAGGCAATTCGGTCGGTGCCTAAAAAGTATCGAACTCGATACCCAGCCCTATTAACAACAGGAGGATGGAGGATGCTATGATCGGAGCTGTGTCTCGCGGGTTTCACAATAATGGACATGGAAAGTCGACGTATACGTAAAGCGATTGAAAGAACGGAAAGGAGGACTAAGAATCTCCAACGACAACTGGCAGTGCTACATTTGCTACAAGTGCCTGCACTTCAGCGTCCGTCCATCTATCGTTGTTCTCCATACTTGCGAAATAACCTCGCGAAGATACTTGCGAATCTGTATGCACCAAGGGTCTGAGAGTAACGCAATTTCAATTCTCTGTGTGTATGTGCTGTACATGTGGAAGAATTGACAATAAAGCAGACTTGACTTGATAAGTTGACACAATGTTTACAGTATGTTTAAATACTGTAAACATTGTTTAAATAGTTTAAATCATGGCGGGTGAGGGCGTTTTCATACGCGTTTGGCCAATCAATGTCTGCTTACGTCACGGGTAGTACCAGTTGTGCTGGTTAGACCCTGCTCCGGAGTAGGAGCTAATTTGGTTCTCGAAAAAGGCAGTCCGGTACTAAAATCGCAAAAAGTGCGTAGTTCCACAATTAGTTCTGGTACTATGAAAAGGTTCCCGCGGTGCGAAAGGCCCTACTGGCGTCGCTGCGAAAATTCCCTTTTGGAACCATTATTTAAAAAAGATTTTACCATGTAGCATGTAGATACCATAGGATATGAATATGGTAATCCATTACTATCATGGTATTGCCATCTGATACCATGATAGCACCTCTTTTTACATGTCCATTGCTGTTTCCATGACTTTTTCCCACTTTCTGGCTTCTCTCCTCTGCACTTATTGAATGTCAGAGAAGTCTCACATTAAACTTGTCATCACCTTTCTGCACTACTTTCTGTAGTCTCAGGAGAAGCAGGTGCTGATGCAGTTGGCGGAGAAACGGGAACGTGAGAAGGAGGTGCTCAACAAGGCCCAGGAGGTCAACAACAACTACAGCAAGATGACCGAGGAGAAGCTCAACCACAAGATGGAGCTGATCCAAGAAAATCGCATGGCCCATCTCAGTGCTCTCAAGCAGCGTCTGAGAGAGAAGGTGAGCCTGTCTGGTTTGTCTTTCATGAATTTGACATGAAATACAAGTTCCTGGTTCTATTGAGAATGATTCTTCAGTGTATTATTCCATAGGAAATATGAGTATAGATGCTCGGTCATCCTCAGCCACCAATGTCCCGTTCAAAAAGCCTCCTTAAAATTGTGTTGTGAAGCAGTTTGCCAAAATCAATGGCAAACTGAATCCATTTTACATTATGCATTTGTCTGACACCTTTATGAAAAACAACTTACAATGCATCCAATACTATCAGTTCATGCATTACCTGGGAATTGAACCAATGACTTTGGCTTTCGTGAGCGACTATTTGCGCAATGGAAAAACGGAAATGGAAATATTTATTGCATGTTGTTTTTCTGAAGTAACAGGCTTACAGCTGTACTTTACTGTCAGTAAAAAAGAGAACTAGTTATTTTTCCTTCCTGGTTGCTACAAAACAGTTCTTATTTATTGGATGTTTAATATGCTGTTTCTCTTTTCTTTGTCAGGAGCTTCACGCTGCAGAAGTCCGTAAGAACAAGGAACTTCACACTGAGCTCTCTGGATAAGGACACTCTTTGACGCCAGAGCTGTGAGATGTCCATTTGGAGAATATCTCATTCTCTGGCCACAGTCTTAAGAGGTCATATCAGACTCACCTTATCAGTTTACCTTATCAATAAATGTCTGAGCATATAACAGTATCCCACATACAATTACATGGACAAAAGTATGTGAGCATCCAAACACCACAGCCATATGTGCTTGTTGATGGTTTAATTTGAGAAGCATGGGCATTAATGGGCAGTTTGTTCTTGATAAAAGCTCTAGTTCAGTGTCCCAGTTCATCCCAAAGGTATTCAGGTCTGGACTTTGTGTAGGCCTGTCAAGATCTTTGACCTTTCCTGATGGACCTTGACTTGTGTGATGTTCCTAAATCAACATCTTCTGTTGATCCTAGAACAAGAAGTCCTATCCCTATCCCTAAACCCAACCTTTACCAAAAATTATGGCTAAAATCAGAGGAAAGTTGATAAGAATGTTGTTCAAGCTACTACTTATTCCTTAAAATCTGATTGGCTGAGGCTGATCCGGGAAGGAACATGCCCTACTTGGCAGAATTGCAGTCACCTGCTTTGTGCACAAGTACTTAGTCATGCTGAAACAGAAAAGCGTCACCCAAAGCTGTTGAACAATCTCCAGAATGTCACTGTATGGAGTAGCATTAAGATTTGTAATTATTTGATTAGCCAAACGCATTTATTGCAAAGAGGTGTCCACATACTTTTGACCATTAGGTTTATCTGCCTGATGACAAAAAAACTACAACTTAGACCAGCTTAAAGACTTGTTTTTAGATTGGCATTAGTGATATGTTATTGACACGAGCTGATTAAGAGGGTTGTTGTTGCTGATAAACCAGTTAGACCAGTGGGTGAGCTAAAACCAGCATGAAACTGTCAAAGCATACCTTAAA